AACACGACCCTGCATTTTCCCGTCGCTTTCTCTAAATAGGCAGACATTCTGATTTCTTCGCTGCATGAGTTTGATATTTTGAAGTTCAAGATATCTTAATGGTTTAAATTTTGTGCTATGGGCATGGAACTAATTATGCGTTTAAATCAGTTTCATTTTACTAAATATCAATTTTTCACTTACTTACTTTTACTCAACATAAAAACTAAAGGCTAACGCATCATCTTGAAAACAGGGGTTGCCTTAGTTGTGTTTAAAACAAATAGATGGTCCAAATTTGATACAATGACTTAACATTAAAATGTGTTATCTTAAAACATAAAAACTGAAAGGTACTTGATTAATTATCTTCATATTATGGTTGCAATGCGTCTGTACTTAGAACATTCGTAAAGCTGATGATGGGCGTAAATGAAGTTCCGATATTTGATTTAACGTAACAGCCGTTTTTCTGTAGATATTAACATGGTAATAGATTTGACTTCTGTTTATAGCCTAAACTTCTCGAACAAGCTTGAAACATGTGAGCACTATCCAGTATGGTATTTCTGAAATTTTCCTAGTACATGAAATGAGGCAGGCATTGCGGTATTTTAAGTATGTTCTGTTATACAAGTGGGAAATTGTGGAATTTTCATGTATTCTTGTTTTTTCCTTGAATATTTCAAACATATCCACGTGCCATTTTGGATAGTTTAACGCTTCGAAAAATCTTCTTATTTAATATATAAAGAAATCTGATTTAAGAAATTTTCTTATGCTTTAATTGTTAATAGGCTTACCAGGCGTCCCGCTTTAACCGGAATGTCCCGGTTCAGTGATATTTTGAAGTCCCGATCAGTTTGTCATTTTTGTCCCTGATATTTGATAAAGATTATAAATTCCTGAATACACAATGCAGATTTCTTTGTGGTCGAGATAAACCGAATTCTAGAATATTACTATTCCGGATTTGTGAAATATACTCTGTTATCAGGAATGTCTTAAACCAAAGTATTTTCAAATTTAGTTTTAAAACAAATATGTTATTCAATGAGAGGCTAAAGATCTTATCTGCGAGAATAGATTTGTATTGTGCAGAAAAATGTTTGTACCATTTTTCTTATAGAGAAACAGAAAAAACTGATATTGTAAAGTTTTAAGCTGAAGCGTTCAAACCAGAAGAAGACAGCAAACAGAAAGACCCAATACTGAAAACGTTTTCTTGCATTTGTTTTAACTTGCTTCCATGGACCCGTTGCTAAATGTTCCTGTAATTATGAGTGACAGTATGTTCGAAAGAACTCCCTTGAACAGAATAATAGCTTAGATGTTCGCACAAACTGAAATATTATTTGTTCTCATTGCACAAATCTACTTATGAAACTCTTAGATCTCATGATAATTGGTAAACGTTTGAGAGATAATTTATTGCATTTTTGGCCAGGTTAATAAACTTCTTTGAACCATTCTCTTCTTTCTCACATGTACCATCTCCTACATTTGCTGATGCATAGTGCAATTTCTAATCTAATAATTGAAGAATTATGTAAAGAGCCTTTGGTCTTGTTACTTATACGAAATATCTTGCTATTTATATGAAATATTCAGTTTGTTAGCGGAGACTCTAAACGCAGTAGTTCCCTGAAGAAATGTCCTCTCTGCCCCTCCCCTCAAAAAGCAAGTTTAATTTAGCAATTGTTTTTAACTATTGTTGAAAAACCAGGTAGATGAGCACAGTATGCCGTAGTTTGAGGTTGTCTTTTCACGCCGGCTGGCACCTTTTTAGTGGCGATATTTTTTGCATGAAATCTTCTTTTTATAGGGGTTAGTAAGGTGGATCGTCAAGGCAGGTGAAGAGTCATTAGTTTGCATATAGAATTAAATTGAGAAGGAAACGAATAGTCAATGAAATCCCCGCGATATTTCCATACGTTTGCACATTCGTTATCTTTCTTCTACTGTTAACATTTATTAATGCAAATTACAAATATTAACTGAATTATGGTCACAATGACATAAATGAGAAGCAGTTCATTATTACGAAAGACGCATTTCAGAGTTTTATTTCCATTATTGCCACGAAAATCGAAGCATGAAGGAGCAGTCCTTTTGAATTTTTGCAATTTATTCTAATATACAATCTCCAAAACAAAGTTAAAAATATTATTATACTGTGTCTAACTTCCCACGGAATTGCGGTAAGTGTCACTATTTGTGAAAAGAGTTTTCTAAATATAAAATCATTTCAGAAGTATTAAAAAAATACAAATGCATGTTTTCATTTAAGAAATCTTTCTGTACGGTCTATAAAACAACTGAAGTAGTCAAACGGATCTGTACATTATCATTAATAGTTTTGCAAACCGAAAACAAGCAAAATAATAAACTGTAATTTTAAAATGTTAGAATTAAAGTTTTCTTTAAAAATAAATTTCTTTAAGTAAATATTAATTTATTTCCCTACATGTCTTTTGATAGTGTTCGCACTTATTTGTTTGTGCACCAAGAGGGACGATAAAATCAGGGACCGGCATGGACGGCCAAAGTTCTAGATACGCCACTTTTTTATTACATAACTATCAATATTAAAGTATATCATTGATACAGAATTTTTAATAGCATACTTCAATAGAAACGTAGCATTTATTTAAAACACGTTTTTGCAAAATGAAGCTATTATATTCATTTGTTAATTGCTATTAATTAAAAAATAGGACATATTCGTGCGATGTAATTAATATTCGTCAGTCACGAATGAAAATACCTTTTGAAGTCTTATGCATTTTATTGGATTAGGTAATGGGAAAAGGGGTTTAAACGAGAGTTAAATTGGAGGACTGATTATATGATCCATTAAATTACTTATCATACATAAATTACGTAAATTAAATTTACAGTACATATTTAATTACTGTATAATATATTTGTCTATACTTAATTATAGAACGAGCTAAAAATATATGTGATAATATATGATTTTCCTGCATCTTAAATTCAGTCTCACAGGTCTCATTTTGTGCGTGGAAATATTCAAGATCCGAAAATAACTGAAATTCTACATAGGTCTAGTCTTGAGCATTTCAAGTGAGATGTACTCAACCAGCATGTACTTCTTTCACTATTCTGATACATGAAACTGCGAATATTATATATCTTTACAATAAAATAATAAAGTTGCTTTAGCAATTTACCGCTTTATTGTAACTTTACTTTGAAATCTATCCTATTATTAGGTGCGTTCGGCTTCGTAATGGACTGAAGGCACACAAAACCGTTGAAAGCCTGATGAAATTGCTTTTTACAAATACTACACAGTTCTAAGACTCTTCACACAAAGGTAATCGCACAGCTGTTATCGGTATGACATAGTACTATCAGTAGTTACCACTTCAAATTACGAATTAAACGTTGCCGGCTCTGTAAAATAACGTACCAAAGGCACATGACAATATAAAGTTCTGGACGTAGGTTCTGTCAAGAGGAGAAATCGGAGGCAAGGAGAGGTAGAAAAAGGGAGATGACCAAAAGGGTCAAGGTACGCAGAGAGAAGAATCCGACTTTCTCTAAAACCAGAAATAATCCGGGGAAAAAAACTGCAATGCATGGAATAAATCTCAGTTACTAAGTGAAAATACAGGTGAATAATCTATATCAAAACTCTGGTATGGTTACACTAAAAAAGATGGTACACGTTACAAAATAAACGTACAGTAAATACAGTTAGTTAATCAAGAAAGAAAAATCATACAGGTAAAAATACCATTGATGTAGACTCATGTGACGAAGTTCTGTCTTTGATAATATGAGCTTCAAGAGGTCTGAATCTTCTTGAAAATGAAGTTGTTATATTCAAAACTTGCGAATAAATGACAAAATAACTTGTAACAAGCCTTCTTTTTATGTAGTCCTCAGTTACCTCTATCTTAAAAGTCCTTATTTATGATTTCCTTTCGAACAAGATAATCTGAATCGAATATTATTCTTAAAAATATATGTTGCACAACCTAAAGTTGATGTATTTGGTTTTTTGTAGCCGTGTTCCAGGCAACGTAATATAAAACAGGACGAATACATGCAGTGTAGGTTATGACGCTTAGGAGATATTAAATGAGGCTGAGGTTGGAATAATTTCCAATTAACATGAAGAAATCTGTTCGTGATTAAACGAAAAGAGCTTTATTACGCGCACTGTGAATGCGTGGAGTCCAAGAAAGATTCTGGTTAATGAGTGGAGACTGAATCATGGATAATTAATTTGCTGCTGGCATGAACTGCTTTGAGTTTTTTCCAGTAAATCAAAAGTTCTTTCACGCTAGTTAGAGTGAAAACTGCTGCTCTCACCAATCCTATATACTACTTTTCCTCGTCTGCTGTGAAATATACTGTACCTTGGAATTCTTAAAATTGCCGTTAGGCATAGCCGGATTCAGATACACATGAACCGAAACAAAATATCGCCAAGCCTGGTAACTTTTGACAATTTCACGCCAAATTTGGCAGTAAAAATTAGTTACGAAAAATCCCTGTTAGCGTGGTGAGAGTTTACCTCAAGATTAAGTGAACGGTAGTCTGCTGTTATAGGGACCGCGTTCAAAAATGTATGCATGTGAGTTATGTGTGTATACAAACACATGTACACACTTGCACACATTTGTGTTATATATATATATATACGCACGTGCACACATACATTTCTGAATCCTGTCCTGAAAACAGAAGGGAACTTTCCCCTATACCTTTATTTTTCCAGCAATGCTTCTCTACTGCGGCCTTTCATGTTACGTTATACAAGGGGTACTGCACTTAATATATAATTTCACTAAAAGTATTTACATATGTCCAATATTCGTAACACTTCCCTTTCTCCAAGGACATTAAGCACCTTGTAGGTGGTAGTAAGAGATTACCAACTCCATCCCAGCAAGATGAAGAAACTCCTTCTCCCGAGTGACGTATCTAAGAATCTCCTACCACTACTGTCTTGAAATCTTTCGGCTCGACATTATATTAAATGAACCATGCCACGAAAAGACACTGCACATTTACAACATGCAGATTGCTGTGAACGTCCTGGGTCCAAGACTATGACAGCTGGTTATCCTACTACCATACTAATGGGCGCACGTTTGTAGTGTAGTTGTACAAAACTATAATGCTAGTCTATAAGTATAACATATAATGTTGGTTTAAATTACTGTATGTGCAGACACCAAGGAGGAAATAAACGTTCTTTATCAAATTTGTAGATTTGAACATATTTATTGACCTAGTCTCATCGATTAATGCGCACAAAAGCATGGAAAGTTGTGTTTCTATTTAGAATTCTGGTTGATTTTTTTTTTACTTGGTCTATCATTAAAGAAATTAAATTTTATTTCTTAGAAATGTTTTTCCCTGCACTCTTATGATTTTTCTAAATTTCTGCCCTTTATTGTAATTGTAACTAACTGTAAGTATATGTCTAGGGTCAGATTTCAGAAATTAAAGTTTGTTGTATTTATATAGTATCCTGTATTCAGTGAAAGCTAAAATTAAAACCATCTTGAACAAAATGCATATGGAAATAAAACAGTTTTTTTAGTTTAAAATATGGATTTTTTTTTAATTTATAACAGAAAGAAACGCTATTGCAAAATAGAAATAGCGGCAACACATGTAGGTTTTTACATAAGTTTTGTTAAAACAATTTTTGTGCTTGAATCTAGAGATAAGTAATGAAATGTATCAAGAGATCAGTTTTCCAGTTTATAAGAAGAATTGTTTGGCTGCATTGTCAAAAACATTTTCTACGTCTGTTTGCAGTGCAAGCGTCACTCTTGCCCATTAAAAAAAAAACGTTAAAAAAAGAGAAGGGAAAAAAAGATTTCGCTCTTTCCTGAGGGATTAAAATGAAAGAGATATTCTAAAAAAAAAGAGAACAACTTTTATTTTGTTTATTGTACGCACTTTGATCAATAACGTAAAAATTGTGAAAATTTGGTATCACAAAAAATATTTTTCTCAGAATTTGAAACACGAATTCCATTGGGCGAAACATTCAGCAAATATTTCGAAACACAAAAGTTTCGAATTATTTTTCTCTGAGTTCAAAACATTTCAGAAATAAACCAAGAATTTCAACTGCTAGAAAATACAGGAAGTTTTTGAAAAAGCAAAATATGCGCTGCAGATAACAAGGCTTTTATATCTTTATATTATACCAAAACTTTCTTAGTCAGTATCACATCCTACTACTTAACAACAGCTGCACATTAGCTAACATGTTTACAATTTTATTTATGAATGCACTATAAAATATGAAGAAAAATATCCCGTTTTTGAGATTTAATATTTAAAAGATTCATTTCAATCTCTCTGCGTTTCGATTCTGAACATTTTCCGTTAGAAAACGGAAAGCAGAAAATTTCAAACATTAAAATTCATTTGAACTTTCTCGATAATGACAGCATCCAGTTACAGTGACGATCATATCACCTGCTCAGAGCAAAATACCATTTCTCTGATAGTGAAGGAAAAAATTATTTTCAACTGCTTAAATGTTTCGAGTAGCGGAACTGTTGAAGACCTTATCAGAAACAGGTAGTCCTGTATTCAAACTTTACTCATGGATTCACACTAGACAGTATTATAGTTTGCGGAGACTAACTGTTAGGTCTAACTCCAAAGTGCGTTTTCTAATCTCGCATAAGAGCTCAGTGTTTGTGCATACCTTTTCTCTCTTCTCACGGTAACATTATCTATTTCGTTTTGTGCAAATTTTAGGTAAAGCTCGCGCCAATTTTCATCTGCGATGAATTAACCTTCAGCATTATCTATTTAAATGTCGAATAAGAGAAAACTTCCTCATTCTTCAATGAACTAATTCCCAAATATTCAATTTTCCTCATAAAAAGGGAAAAGCTTAGATGAAATATCATCAAAATGATGAATACTTAGGCACAACTTTACGTCATCCCTGATGAAACATTTTTCTATCTGGAAGAAATATACCAATTCGCCAAGTATTCCTTCCCTTTTTATCAATTCCTCAAGTCTTTTGCATTCTGCCAGCGTTTGTCAATCTGTGGTTTGTGGACCACACAAGGTCTTCCGATCTTGCCCTTGTTGTTCTCCTAGATTAGGAAAAGATGCAAAAAATAAAATTTAGATGAACTATTGCTGAAAATCTCAAACCTTGGATATTACATAGGGTAATTTTCTATCACTTTTTCTATCCAGACTGATGTTTTACGAAATTCAAAACCAGTTACCTTGCCTATGGACATCTCCCCTATAAATTTAAATTACTGTAAGTGTAGTTCTCATTACCAGAGTAGATCCATGCATTGAAAAGCTGCGCAAGAAATGGAAGGCTCATCCCTCTCATAAATATGATTAGCAATATTTATTTGATTTTTAATTTAAAACATGTTAAAGATTACCCGACCTCTAATAGCCTTGAACTATTAAAACAAAGTATAAATATCCTGCCATTAACTTAATACAAATGTAAAATTAAATGAATTTAAGTAAGGTTGAATGACAAAAGTAGATTTTTTTTTTTTTTTTTTTTTTTTAAGCAGGACACGGGAAAAATGTGTAGTCCTCTTGCCAGAACAGGAACCATAGACCTCTCAAATACGCGTTGATCATGCTACCACTACACCACGAAGGCATACTAGGAGGAGGAAGAATATACCTTCTAAAGGGTTACAGGGGATTACGGGATACCAAACGCCAAATCCTAGTAGTGAGCAGGGCCAATTCTAGGGTGTCCGCCGCCTAATGTGCCGCACCTCTAGAAAACTTTTTATATTTAGACTAACACTTAACGTTGACGTTATAAACCTGTATAACATTAAATAAAAATGCAAACATTTAATGTAAAACATTAAATAAAAATGCAAATAAAATTTGAAGTGGAAAACTTTATTTTTTGGCCAGCTATTACGTTATAATGGCGACAAAATACTTTAACAAAATTATAAACAAACAAAATGATTACCTTTGAAATAAAAATAGACATTTTATAAAAGAAATGTAAAATAACAGTATTTGCTCAAAACATATACCGTATATTCTGCATATAACGCGCAACTACGATTTTAAGCTATATTTTTTAATTTTTAGATATATTTGCCGAATATTCTTTCTTTACGAAGAATCATGAAAGATACGTCTGCGATGCTCTTATTCTTGGAAGTCATTTATTTGAAGATTCGTCCCAGGCTTTCAAACAATGGTATACATATTTTTTCCAGGCTTTAAACAATGGTATACAGAGTTGACAAGCGACAAGGAGAACTATATTTGTGTGATTGATGTAAAAGGCATAAAAAAGGTTTACATAAAACAACAGATTACGAAAAATCTCACCTCTTCATAGTGCTTTAACGAGCGGTACAAAATTAAAACCCATGGTTACTTTTTAAAGAAAGATTGTGCCAAAATGTAATTTTCTAAGTGGTGTTTTCGTGTTTACAAGAAAGGATGGTGGGCGAAGACGGCGTAAAATTGTGGTGAGAAATGTCTGTCAAAAGCGTCCAGTTGCCTAAAAGATTTCAGAAAGTCTTTTATTTTGGGACATGTTCATATTCCATCTAATGAACAATATGAAGAAATTGCTGAAAGAATGTAATACAGACATGGCAGTTAGTCCAGGCGTCCATTAGTTCAGTAATATCATGTAGTAGTTCAATAAATGCGTGTATCAACAAAAATTTAAAACGTGGAATACATGGATATCAGAAGGTGAAAGACATTTACAAAAGGAGGTAAATGCTTTATGCCAGTCTAGAAATAGTGTGTCAGTGGATAATAAAAGAGTGGAATGAAATTGACACCGAAATAATTCAAAAGTTATTTAAACAATTTAGTATTTCTGGTAATCTAAATGGAACAGAAGATGATTATTTATTTATGGTTCAGAGTGATAGTGATGGTGAAGATGAAACAGAATTAAATGATACGTCTGAAGATACTTATATAACGGAAGACAAATATAACGAACTTTTCATGTAAGCCGATACTGAAAATTTTTAAACTCATAAGCTGTATCATTTCTTTTAAGTAAATAGCACTTTGCTACATGCAGAAATCTAATTTCTATATGCTCATCTTTCCCTTATTTTTAAATCTACCATTTTTATATTTATATTATATTTATATTTTTATAACGCCCACTCGTAAATTTCGGTCTTATTTTTTGTATTTAAAGTGCGCTTTATATACCCGAAATTAAGGTAATCTAATGTGTCATATTATTTCTCAAGTAATTTTTAATTTACTGAAACTTCTTTCTCCTGAAGCCATAGAAACAGGTAAAAGAGCAAAATTTGGAAAACAGGGAATTAGATCATTTTTACTATAAATTATAATACCTCAATTGGCTGTTTTATTCCTGGAAAAATATCTCTGAGTGAAGTGATTTTATTAAAGAGTTGTATGCCGTCTAAAAAATATATTTCACAATACTTCCTTCTTCCTATACCTGTAACTTATTATCTATGATCATGCAGGCTTTCGTGAGATCATCATTAGAAATGATGTGAAACTCATACAGAAAGTAGAATATTGAATAGCACAAATATTTCATTTACAGAAGAAATCGCGTGATCAAGAATTGCAAAATAGAAAGCAGTCTTGAATTGCTGGAAGGGATTTATAACTGATTCATCTCTCCCTCGTAATCAAATTGAACATACCTTTTTCCTGAGCTTCGAGATTGGCAGTTTGGGATCAGTACCTAAATCTCCAGCAAGATTTCTTGCTGAATCAACAAGTATTTTAAAATTATCGTCAGATCTTGGAGAAAATAATTATTTTTTAAAATTATCTAAGCCTTCAATGCATTTCGCTATGTTTAATTCAGAATTTTGAAACATTTTACTCAATACGTCAGTTCTTGATAATAGGATTTTGAAGCATTTTAATCAATACATCAATTTGCTGATTCAGCACCTATTTTTGTTTTCGTGTCTCCACTGGTATCTTTAATTAAGGTATTTAATGCGGTAAAAATGATTTTATGTCTTGTTTTAGAGGTCTAATAGCATTGATATGACTTTCTCACCTTCTTTCACTTAACGGTTTTAAAATTACCACTTTTCACATGCTTTTTCGGGGGAAATGCAATCGATATGAGG